CCATGCCTTGTGCTTCTGTCAATTTCTCCAGCTTTGTCATGGACCCTAAAGTAAGTTTTCTCAAAACTGGAAATGGTGCAATTGAATCTCCTCTACCTTCGCTACTGCTTGCCCACCATGTTTTGAGCTCGGGGCAATTCCAAATATTCAACTCCTCAAGGTGAGGAAACATGACCATGCCTTGTGCTTCTGTCCATTTCTCCAGTTTTGTCATGTATCTTAAAGTAAGTTTTCTCAAAATTGGAAATGGTGCAATTGAATCTCCTCTGCCTTCGCTGCTGCTTGCCCACCATGTTTTGAGCTCGGGGCAATTCCAAATATTCAACTCCTCAAGGCGAGGAAACACAACCATGCCTTGTGCTTCTGTCCATTTCTCCAGCTTTGTCATGGAGCTTAATGTAATTTTTGTCAAAACTGGAAATGGTGCAATTGAATCTCCTCTGCCTTCGCTGCTACTTGCCCACCATGTTTTGAGCACGGGGCAGTTATGAATATCTAACTCCTCAAGGCAAGGAAACACAACAATGCCTTGTGCTTCTGTCCATTTCTCCAGCTTTGTCATGTAGCTTAAAGTAAGTTTTCTCAAAACTGGAAATGGTGTAATTGAATCTCCTCTACCTTCGTTGCTGCTTGCCCACCATGTTTTGAGCTCGGGGCAATTCCGAATATTCAACTCCTCAAGGCAAGGAAACACAACCATGCCATGTGCATCCTGATTTCAAGAAAACAGTAGAAGATAAGTGGAATGAATTAGAGGTGGATGGGTTTGTAGGGTATAGATGTAAGCAAAAACTAAAACTGTTGAAAGTGTTTTTAAAAGGCTGGAATCAAGAAGTGTTTGGGGATATGGAAGTTCTTTGGGTGCAAGTGTTGCACTGGTGGGGTATTGAGGCTGTGTTATCAAATACAATAGAAGGAGTTGCAGAGTTCTTTCTACATGGTTTGGGTAAGATTATAGGGAAGGAAATGGGAGCATGTATTTTCCTTGTTGTTTCTTGGTATCTCTTGTACTGTAGGAATATAGGAGTTTTTAAGCATCTTGTGAGTTTTAGGGAAAGGGTGGTGGATATAGTGCAAGCCAAGACCTTTTTCTGGATCAAAATTAAGATGCAAAGGTGTGTTTTTTCTTTTTCTGAGTGGTAGAATAATCCAATACAGGTTGCTATAGAGGTAAGAAGGCATAAAAGGCTATTGAAGACATTCTATAAGCATAAATTGTGGGTGGCATGAATTGGATTCTTGGTAGAAAGTTTTTGTTTGTTAGTTTTGCAATTTCTTTATAATGGTATTGATTGTTGGGCGTGTGGTCTGATCATGCCTTCTTCCTTTGTATATGGGTTGGACTACCCTTCTACTCTTTAAAATAATATGTAATATTTCCTTTGTTGATCAAAAAAAAAAAAAAGAGTATAATAATCTCATTTCAATAAAAATAAAAGAAGTGAAATGGATAATAAGTTAAGAGATAATTGCTTCTAATTATGTAATTCAAAATAATATATATATAGTGTATAATTACAAATGAATTCTACTAAATTTTAATTAAGTCAAACACAATCATGTGAATTCAAATCATTAAATTAAATTAAAAAAATTTTGTAATTAAATCAAGCACAATAGATTTAAAAATTGCATTCCACACTAGAATAAAAGTTCGCGCCCTCCGTTATCAAATTGGAAGAAGGTTGAATCCTTTTTAATACTCCTATATTTTTCAGCTTTTTGATGAGTAATATATTTTTCTTTTAAATATGTCTAACCATCTGCACTTTTTAAAATAAATTAAAGTAACTCTTTAAAAATTTTGTAAAAATGTAAAACACAAACTATTGGATTGCTATTGAACCTAGCCCAAACTTGAAACCCAGTTGATCTCCCTAAGAAAAAAGGAACACTAAGATTAACTTTTTATATTTTGTAATTACCCTTCCGCAAAGAAACAAAAAACTGAAATAAAATAAAAGAAATGAATGAAATACCTTATCGTTGAAAAGTGAGAAGCCGCTGCAATTACCACCGTTGAAGAAGCTATTCAGTTTTGGCAGATCTTTTAATGTTAAGGACCGCAGCTTGTTGCCAAGCTTACATCCTTCACTTTCTTCAACGATATCGTTTCCGTTGCCTTGCTCCTCCACGTCATCAATAATCTCTGCAATGTTGTCGCAATTTTCTACTGTTATTTCTTGAAGTTGAAGCTGTCTGGCCATGGAGAAGGAGAACAGATTCTTCAATTGATGACAACCAACAACGGTTATCTTGCTTAATACTTTAAAAGGTGCTGCTCCAGTCAGACCATGACATATCTTCTCCATTTTTTGCAAATTGGAAAGGGTCAATACCTCCAACATGGGAAATACATGGGAAGGAAGCAACCTCCCTGCTGCGTTAAAGATGCATCGAATGTCCGGAGCATTTCGGACATTGAGACACTTCATATGTTGAAAACCTTCATCATCTAACTCACAAACTAAATTCTCAACACCATTTAATCCCTCGAGGGACAGATCTTCTGTCTTCTTCAACAACTTTTTAACTGAGTCATCAAATTTAATGCTTGCACCCTCTAGCTTTAGCTTCATTATTTTTGAGCTTTCAAAAGGGCTGTTCCAAGAGTTACTGTCCCAAGAGTAATCGGACCTAGGCTCCCAAAAGTTCCTCCTCACTATTCCTATGAAAATCTTGAACCTTTCCAAATTTTCAGGGAACAAAGTTTCTTGGAAATTAGGAATACATACCTCTAAAGCAGTGAGCATACGCAACTCCGTTAGCTCAGCAATCCTAGCATTTCCTCCCTCCACATCATCCCATTGGTCAAAGCTGTTTCCCATTTTTAGCTCTTCCAATTTAGACAATCTTGCTAAGACTTGTCGTGGAATTACTTTCAGTTTGGTGCAGTCACTCACATCTAATAACTTTAGCTTGGTTAGCTTCTCCACTTCTTTTGGCAACTCTTCAATATCACAGCCTGCAAGGCTGAGGACCTCTAAATTCTCCAGATTTCCCAAAATGGCGCCAAGTGCTTCAACTCTAAACACACATTGGTCCAAAAGCAATGTTTTAAGCTTTGTTGGGATCAAGGGAATTTGTGAAGGCATTGACTGAAAATCAATTTTAGTCAAACATAAGACTTTGAGCCCTTCTGTTCCAGTGAACAAATCTGTTGGAACTGCCAGAGAACAGCCCTTCTTAGACAAATGAAAGAAAGTGAGCAGCGGACATTTCAACCCATTGCTCGTGAGCTCAGGATGAACATTTGACAAATAAATCCACTTCAAATTTTCCATTGTCTTCTTTTCTGGCCAGTCTTTTTCTTCATCTTCATCTACTAAAGCAAATACACCGTGGTCCCTAGAAGCAATTGACAGGGCAACCTCCCGAATCTGATCATGCATACCGAAATGCATATTGCTGTGACCATGAACCAACAAAGAAGAGAGTTTCAGACGGCGAACCAATGTCAGTACTTTGGTTCGTGTCTCCTCCACTGTCTTCACCTTTTGAAATAAATTCAGGCCCATACCATATTTCAACAAGTCATTAATGGACGAGTCATTGCCCAGCAGACTACAAAGAATGAATGTTCGCATGAGTTCATCTCCTTGTAAGTAATTGTAGGACAACTCTATAGGCTTGTAAACAACAGAAGATGTCCCTTGTAGAGTAGGCTTTCTCAATTCTATAAGAGCAGTTTGCCACCCCTTTTCATCTTCACCTTCCAAGGCATTTCCAACTGCTGCAATAGCAACGGGCAACCCGAGACACTTTTCAACGATCTCTTTAGCCATTGGTTGAAAATCAGAGCTTTCAACTTTGCTGCCAACAATTTTCTTGAATAGATGCCATGCTTCACCATCTTCTAATTCAGGTAGCTTAAATTTCTGAACTTTCTCATTCTTCATACGAGAGAGAACATCCCCATCTCTGGAGGTTAGGAGAATCTTGCGGAGGATATCATCTTGTCCAGATGACCCTTCTTCATTCTTTTTCTCCATATACTGCTTCATCTGACTTACAGAAGGGATTCCGAATTCCTCGAAATTTATATCAGGCTCCTCAATATTATCGAAAATAACAAGAAATTTCTTCTCTTCCATCAGTTTGTTCCTTATTGAATCTGCAACTTGTGGAGCTGTATCCGTTGAAAAAGGAAGCTTATCTAAACCCAAGTCGCGTGCGATGTCTTCTTGAATACTTTTCAAGTCCCGATCCTTTGTCATTGTAGCGATAGCGACCGCAGTGAACAAGCTGTCTTTCTTGGCTTTTCCTTTAACCATTTTTACAAACATAGTCTTCCCCACGCCAGAAGTCCCAAACAATCCAATCGTGTTAATCGTTGGACTTCTTAGGGCCTCCATGATTTGCTTCAAAACAGCCATTCTAGAAGGAAACTCCTCAAAACCTTCGACAACGCCAGCCACGTCCTGTTGTCGAGGAGGAGCGTGGGAAAGTAGGGGGGGACCGAATCCACGAGCTACTTCCAGATGTTGAACAATATCCTGGGAATTCTTCTCTGCTTCCTTGCTGAGCTTGTAACGAGGAATGGGATTGGGACACAGCCGAAAGAAACACTCCTTGTTGGCAAATTCATCACCGACTCGTACAGGTTCCTCTGCCGCTTTGATGAATTCTTCTGCTTTAGTCAGCCAAGTCTGGACCTTGTGATCAATCAATCTTCCTCTTCTGCCAACCTCTTCTATATGGCTCTCCACACTCTCTCTTTCATGCTTCAGCTTCTCAACTTCAATCTTCAGATTCTCAACATTCTCGTTGCACTTGCGCACAACAGTGACTGGATTTAAAATAAAATTCAAAATCCGATCAACTAACTTCTCAACAACTTTGTCAGCAACAGCAGTACCGGTTGGCTCGGCCATCTTCTTGTTGTTTTAGAGGAGGTTTTATGAAATATACAGATGAGAAAACAAAGTGCTTCAATTGAGGATAAATTAAGAGTTTGGTTGAGAGGACGGGATCAGCGAAAATGTGTTTTTTTTTTTTTTCTTTTTTGGGTTTATGGTTTTGAGAAATATAGAGGTGGCAAACAAAAACTGAGAGACAAAAAACAGAGAAGAAGCAGATGATCAAACGGTGAGAATTTCGCTTTCGCCCCGACAATCAAACGGAGATAACGAAGCAAAGGGTGAGGAATGAAAGGAAGAAGTTACAATGAAAGCAAATAAATAAAATGATGAGAATGAGAGGAAGGGCGAGAATAGTGAAAGGACTAACACAGTGGAAATGAAGTGCAGTCTGAGAGGAATCAAAGTGAAACGCTGAGCTATTCGTTTTGCGCTTTAAAAGGGAAATGTTGATGGCTTTGATTGAGGAAGGTAAAAGGGTAAGAAAGTAGAGTCTGAAACATCAAGCTTTTTGGCTAAATAATAATTTAAGAAAATTAAAATATTAGGCTTTGTTTGTTTGTACTGTTTTTTTTTTTTGACAGTAGAAATTGAATAGTTACATGGTTAGCATCTGTGGAGGTGAAACTCGAACGTTTGAAAAGGTCTAGAACCACTTACTAGCCAAGAGCAGCGTCGCCACTTGAGTCACATTGGGTTTTTTTTTTGTAGTGTTTTGTTTTTTTATTATATTGTAATTATAAGTTTTATATTTTTTATTTTAAAATATTTATTTTTTATTTTTTTAATTAAGAATTAAAAATATTTATATTCATTTATAACACTAGTAGATAAGAAATAAAAAATAAATAAAAACATTTTTCAATTAAAGA